TCAATGTTCAAACTATTATTCAATGTTCAAACTATTATTCAATGTTCAAACTATCATTCAATGTTCAAAACTATCATTCAATGTTCAAAACTATCATTCAATGTTCAAAACTATTATTCAATGTTCAAACTATCATTCAAAGTTCAAACTATCATTCAATGTTCAAAACTATCATTCAAAGTTCAAAACTATCATTCAATGTTCAAACTATTATTCAATGTTCAAACTATCATTCAATGTTCAAACTATTATTCAATGTTCAAAACGAACCTTCATTCAATGGTAGTCCCAGGGACACTTTTCTGCTAACCGAAAGCGCTCCTTACCGCTGGATTACTGGAYAGGGRCTCACTCCCGCTCTTTTTCATGATGTTCCGGTATCGGCCACCCGATTCACAGCTTTGATATTTTTGAGTTTTTTCCTCTGCTATTATGTCTTTTAAAGACTTAGCAAAGTGCCTTGGCCAGGCAACAGCTATATGCAATCAAATGATTCAAAATGATGACCAAACAGCAAGTTCTTCCGGCAATTCGACATCTGGAATAATTACACCAAGCAGCTTTGCCAACATGGCGTCGTCTTCCTCGGCGATTAGCCAGGCTGTACAAMGAGCCAGGTCAATGATAACGACATCAAGCCAACGTGGAGTGAAGAGACTAAACCAAAGGGAAAGGCTGATGGCAGGAGGTAAAGTCACAAAGATTCAACTGCAGGAAGAGATTAAACCATTTGAGTTTGTGTTGATCCAACCTGGTGAGAGCGATGAAGGCAACGAACAATTTGCACTCAATGGGGAGTCAACACTACTGAGAGGCTTTGTGCAGATATCCACTACTGCATCGGAGACGGCTATCGGAGATGAAATTTGTTCTGCCATCAACAAAAGGTATCCACTTGTAAATGCTAGCGATCTYGAATTCCTCAAAGCCAATAGAAGAACGTTAATAAAACCTGTTAGTAGCTGCGAATATAACTATAAACAGGTGAAGTTGTTAGCAGGGCAATGTGCCATCTATGTGAAAATCAAGGATGGGTTTGATTGCCTGCTTCAAAGTGACACTGAAGTCTATGATCTGACATCTGATCRTAATGAATCAAGCCATACCAAAAGTGCAAAAAGCAATGATGATAAGCAGCTAAAACTACCAGAAGTAGAAGAAGTAATAAATCATTGTTTAGATAATAACATATCCAACCCAGTTGAAATCTTATGGGTGTACTGACGTATCCGTTTCTAGACGACCTGGTTGCTATGCTAGCCGATGCTAGCTAATCGGAGAAACGGGCGCGCGCGCGTTTTCATGGCGGTTAACTTTTTACTTCCGGTGGAAAGGTTTTTGTTTACATAAAATGTATGGTATCATTTAAAAAATATAATCTTCGGTGCGAAACATCAAATGGACGTGTTTCTTCAATATTTATGTTCTTCACAGCCTCCTCTTCAGAACCAAAAATTAAAAAAATTGAAAGTTATTGGCATTTTTCGCTTATTTGTCGCATTTAAAAAATCGTAAAAAGCTTATTTGGCAATCATTCTAAAAACGCATGCTTGAATTTACGGACTTAAATCTAAAGATTAATTTCATCCATTTTATATCGTTTAATATACTTTGCTTGATGAAATTATAGCATTTTTTCGTATTAATGACGTCACGCGATGACGTCATACAATGACGTCATAGAAATGTGTTATATTTGTTTGGGAAGGCTTAACACTCAATACAAAAGCGATTTTACTCTTGTTTGTCATTTCAACCTCGTCCCCAGGGCCATCTCRGGCGACTCCTTTTCAAGATGGCGGTCGTCGGGGAGATGACCCTGGCGTTGGCTGGAATCACGTGATCAAAACCTCCAAGATTTTTGGAGGTTTTGATCACGTGGCTTATCTATTCAAAATGGCGCTCGAAACGTGAACTCAACGGTTTCACAAACTGGGATAGCTGTGGTGGGTCGGTATTTGCTTTGTTTTGATGATTTATTTGAAAAATGTCCTTCCGTCCTGCCGTCATCGGCTGTGTTGACCCCTAGACCATCTACGGGAGTAGATCCAGTTCATTCTAGAATTCTTGAGGGATCCGCTCACTGCAGAAATCGGCGAGTAGAAGACTTCTATAACATCGAAGCTATCGCTAAATATATCCGTCAAGTTAAATTTCTTACACGAGTAGTTGGCATCTCAAAACCACGCATTGGACAAGAGAGACATAAGAGGACAACTGACAAGAATTCCAAAGAATATCGTTGCTTTTTAATCGACAAAACGTACCTTAATTAAATTTCGGGAATATTTGAATAAAAACAATGAACGCATCGTAACGGTTAAATCAATAACCGATCAAAGACCTAACGGTTATCCGGACATACCGACAGTGTCGAACACATCCCGACCTATAGACGAACATAAACAGCCAATAATGAGTGATATAAGAAAAGGCATTTTGAATAGCCAATCAGAAAGCGGCTTAGTTCAGC